TAGTGCATGAAAATGAGACCTAACCTCTAAAATGAAAATTGACCTCTAAAATGAGAAATGAATCTCTATTATCCTTGAACAACACCCTGATGGCATTTCTAAATCCCTCTAATTTTGTACAATGTACTTTACGTGCATCTCTTTAACTAGCATAGCGAAGGAGTCCCTTTAAGGCGAACTCTTTGGAAAGCAGACATCATTGACTTCAGTAAGTCAATGTAAGTTTTAACAATGGCTTTGGTGTTAGCAGAGGTAGGTGAACGCTCACTGCTTTTGAAACTCTTGCCTTCAGACATGAAGTATCTTGTATCTTATGTGCGTATCTTGCTTTACTCTTTTGTTAGCAGTTGCAGATTTTAAGTTCTCTTGCGCTATGAAATATTTTCAATTTCTGGGAAATGTGCTCAAAACTCAGAAGGGAGTATGAGTAGTTCCTGACCTACCGTTAACGCTGCCTGTGGGCTTTGGTGAGCTGTATGACCTCGTTGTGCCTTGCTTTACTCATGTGGTAGATAACTCCTGATGTTGACTAGGGAATCTGATTTGGTTGGTTTTAATAGCATTTCCAAATGGGTTTTGATTTGTGAATAAAAGCTTTCTCCTGGACGTGAAGCTTTGCTGAGTTGTGAAATGCGCATGCAGCAGGTATCGCTCCTGGCAAGCATCGCCACTGCACTCCAAAGACCAGTAAAACTCACGTAGGCAACTTTATTTCACTTTCTATTGCCCGTTGTCTGGTTTGCACGTAGCTTATTCTCCTGGCCACAGCTTTCGGTGGAAGCAGTTTGGAGCCAGCGGTTGAGCCGCAGACTGTTGGATGTGGTTGCGCTTAGCCGCAGGTAGGCGGTTGTGCTTGTCTACACAGAGACTAAGGTCAGCTTTCTGAAGTTCAGGGAAGATGTGAAGAGGTGAAGGAGGGAGAGCAAAAAAGAGTATGTTTCAAATCAAAACCTTTTGGTGCTGAAATTGCCTAAACCAAACTCTGTCTTCACACATCAGGGCTTAATGCTGATAGTGATTTACTTACACTTCCTAGTTAATAATTAGACATTGGGAGACACCATATATCACTCTTAATGGAATATATGGGGTCTGATGAGAGTTTTCTGTTTTGACTAATAAATTTTAACCAGAATCACCAAGCTTAATGAAATATTGCAGCCTCGGAAGTGTTTTAAGTCTCGTGCTGAGAAAACAGTGTTATTTTACTCAGTAAATGAATTTATCATTCATTCTGTATCCTGAGCCCTAGCTGGCTCTGGAGCATGGGCTGAATGCAAGACTGTGAACTAGAAAGCGGAAAAACTAATCAAATCCTTAAAGACCAAAGGCAGCGAGGCAGGTCTAGACTGACTTTTTCAGTGGTAGCCTCTGGCTGCATCCACTTTTATTTTAGTAACCATTGTTAGCATGATTTATAACTTTAGCTTTAAGACGTACACTATTTAGATGTAATAAGATGCTTTACAGCTTTTATTTCTATTTCCTAATTTCCCTCTTGTCCCTGCTCTTTTTTCATTCCTCCTCATCTTTGTCTCCCTCCCCTTCCACTCCCCAGCACTATCCCCAAGCTTGCCATTGCAGCTGCACTGAAAGAGCATTTCACTGTCAGCCCCAAGGTCAACAAAACAGTGACTGCCTCAACTAATGGCTGATCTGCTGGTGGCCCATTTAGTTCAGAAGAGAGTACTGCGAGCAGAGTTTAGTCTCATACTGTTGCACAAAGCTTTTCGTTGCTAATTCTGGTGAGAGGATCTTCTGTACGTGGAGGAGAGGAGGTGCCCCCCAGCAAAGTACAGGATCCCTGCTTTGCCCCTCACCTTTTCCAGCTATCACGTAAAACACTGCCTTGCCAAAAGGAGAGTGGTTGTGTCTAACAAGGCCCTGCCCACCTCCCAGGTACAGCAATAGGAACCTGCCCTAACACACCTTGTTCTAGTCAGGGGGAACGTAGCAGTAAGATCTTGGTGGCACTCTGTAGTCTACCAGTCTTTGGATTTGGTGGGCCACAAGGAAGAACAGCTGCTGCTGAAAACGTCTTGCTGCTTAGTTGTCTGAGGTGAGAAAGAGAGCTCTCCAGCTGATCTTCTGCTGTAATAGGGAGAAAGGTCAAATTTAGGTGCTGCTTTTAGTCTGACTGAAAGAGTCAGAGACAGCAACGAAACTGCAATTTGGGAGAAAGTTGTTAATACTAAACAGATGGATGCTGCTGTAGTGGTGTCCCATCAGAAAGAATAAAACCTTAGTAGAGCAGCTCGGAAAGCATCTATGTTAGGAGTCAATCAGATATGCTGATTGAGACTCCTGGGCATTGAAGTAACTCAGCAGCAAAGTCTTTGTGCTTGAAGTTCAAGCTAGGGAATCCATCCCAAACGGATCTAGGATGTCTGGTGGCATTATTGTGTTCTTGTGGCTTAGCCTCTGCCACTCCTACTCAGCAGTTTTCTCCGTGCATTGTGCCAAAGAAGCAAGATAAGAAGAGACAGTAAACACATCTTATTCCTGGTACAGGATAAAACCGCTAAAACTTAGCTGCACCATTTCTTGCTGCTGTTAAAACTCTCCCTCCCACGTTGCTTTTGACAGAATATTGACTAGAAACCAAGATCCCATTTCTGCTTAGCCTTAAGGGCAGCTGTTTGCCGAGTAGCAGTGTTACACAGGTTTACTGTGTCGTATGTCTGTGTAACACTGGATTTGGATCTTGTATTTAGCTGCCAGAAGTGACTGTGATGAAGTGGGAGAGATAAACTGATAGATTGTGTGCCAGAAAGATGTTGGGAATCAATCAGATAAACAGGGCAGAGGAATAGCTTGCTGTTTTCTAGTGATAATAAACCAGTGGCCTCTGTTCCTGGAATTTTTAAATCTAATTGCTGTGGTAGTAATCTCCAAAAATAAGCAAATAGGGAGGGGGGAAGTCATGGGAGGGTTAGTTGTGTTGTTCTTGTTCTTTTCTTCTAATAGGATGTATGCCTTGAAGGAGGGGAAAGATGTGGCTAGGTGTAAGTATTTCCTCTGTTGCTTAAGCATCTTTTATTTAAACATAAAAAAGGCATCTTAAGGTGATACCCAACTACTTGTAAGGCATGTTCCTTTTGCAGGGTGCATGCCTTTTTTCCCCTCGTTTCAGTAGTGTGCTTAAGGGATGATAGGCGAGGGGCAAGCTGCCTTGGGAAATGCCGTTGTCTCACTTGAGCTGGCCTTTCTGTCCCCACATCGCTGGCTTCCAGTTGCTACCAGCTTCTTTGTGGTCCCTTGCCTTGCCTGTGCGTGCTGTTTTTGGCAGGTGAGGACAACAGCCAGGACTGTGGCTGCTCCCCAAGCCTTATTTTCTGTGACTGTTGCTGTACTGTGATAGACCACTGCGGTCCAGCTTTCCTGCTTAAGCAAAAATACAGGCTAGAAGAAGAGCACCATTCCTCCTTTCCCAACTTCAGCATCTTTGTGGACCTCACAGGGCTCTGAGTTCCAGGTCTGGGGCTTTTTCAGGTCCTTTCTGGGCTGGAGCTGTAGCTTCTCTAGTCAGTGAAATGACAACGTCTAGAAGTCTTTGCACCTCAGTTTGGGAGGGCTTATTTCTGTTTTCTGTGTTAACATGTTGGCTAATACCCAAGGCACGCTGCGTGCAATTTACACTGAGAGGTGATAAAGGCATAGCGTTAGTCAAGTATCCAGAAAGGCTGTTCACAATACCCTTTGGCTACAGCAAGACAAAAGGACAAAACCCAACCCTCAGGACATGAGAAGAAATAGAAAAGCCTGCTTGAGCATTCTTGCTCTAGCTGTAAAAAGCATTTTACTGGACTGTTCCTTGGAGCAAACTGCAATACCTAGCAGTGCTTGACTTCTGTTCTGTGCAGTGTTTCAGTCTCCCCTTCCCCTCCAAGTGTGGGGTGAGGCCTGGGAGGCACTGGTCTCCCTGTAGCTCTCGGAGGGTTCCCTTGTTACAGCTCTCATTGATGGGAGTTGTGTCCACAGCCGCATGCGGAAGTTCAGGCCCTTTTTTATCCTTCTGAAAGCTAAGGAGCAGTACAGGTCTGTGAAGTACTGTCCGAGTCGGTCGTTCTGCCGCTCTGGGTGAGGAGCAGCTGCCTCGTGCGTACGGCTCTGTGGCTAATTCTTAAGTGGGGCCCCATGCCTGGCCCTTCGGAGCCACTTTCCCCACAGGGGCCAGTCAGGCATCTGCCCTCCAAGGGGTCTGGGTGCTTTCCTCCACCTTCCTGGGACACCAGCAGTTGCCAAATGGTGGGCCTATCTGGTAATACCCCAGCTGCCTCCTGGCACTGTTGTAACTGTTGTTACCGTTCAGCTTCACTGTAAAGCCCTTTTAAAAAACAGTTGCTGACCTCAAAAGGTGACTGCAGTGCCAGCAGGGCGTGGCGCTGCTGGCTTCTGGTCCTTTCCAGTTGCTTAGGCTTTAGGTCATCGTTTTGCTTTCCCCGTGTAGGACTCATCATGGTTGGACCATAGTGCAGCTTCATTGTGCCCTGCTGGCTCTGCCTGACCTTCTAGATCCTGAATGACATGATGCCAAATGTCAGCTGTATAAACTGTGACGTGCTGAAGGGAAGACTGCACTATTCCTCGATCCATCTGAAATTAACTTCTATATGGCAACTCTTCCTGGTGGCCTTCAGTGTTAGGCTCCAGTCCCATGTTCTGTGGAGACTTTTGTGGAAGAGGGGCGCAACCTACAGCTATTTCCACTTGTAGCATAGGATTTTGCTTCATTGGTTGGAACCCTTCTAGATCCATTGGCTCCGCTCTCATCATTCATGTGTTCTCCCTTGGAGAACTCTTCTGTGAAGAGGAAATGTTAAAAGGCCTTTGGTTCTTGACTTGGGGTTTCCAAGGAAGTTTCCAAAAATGTGGCCGGCCCACAGATTCCTTTGGGAATGTGGCAACTGATTGCTTAAGTCTTGTGAGAAATCCACGAACCTGTTTGCCTTAATCTCTCTTTACCGTACCTTTAAATAAGATTGTTGTCTGTTTTCTAGCTCCTTCGAGAACTTATCGAGCGTAAAACCAGCTCATTGGACCCCAACGATCAGGTAGCAATGGGCAGGTAAGTGGGAAGGTGTCTGCGACATCGCTAGCTTCACCCCAGCACTGCGTCCCATCCAGAAATGCACAGCTACTTCTGGGCTCCCAGTCCTGCTCACTAGAGAAGCCAAAATTGTGAATGATTCCAGAGAAAACATCTGGGTGTAATAAATTGAGTAACAACTGATTAAAACAATATGGTGTTAATCAAGTGAATCATTCTCCATAGCATACTCCTTAGCTGTGGATCACACTGCCAGAATCCGAGTTCACCAGACTTTGGACGCTTCTGTGCAGCATGCAAAGGAACAAATAGGAGGGTGTCTTGCCCTACTCTAGTAAGCAGGGACTGGGTGAAGTGACCACCTGCTGCTGAAATTTGGCATTTTATCATTATGAGCTCTGATTTGTCACTATATTAGGGGAGTAAACCTTCTGTAGTGAAATCAGTTAAAACAATTTGTGTGTATGCTTTCTCCTTGCTGTAAGAAAAGACACAAATACAATTAAAACAGCATCAGGGAATGTTTTCTTCATGCCAGAAATGAAATAGAATTCTGTGCATGGAAGCTCTTCTTTCTCGCTTTAATTCTGTGGTTAGAAAATAAAAAATATTCCAAATACTACTTAATGAACAGGATACATTTAAATAGCTATGGGCTGTAATTTAGAAAAGCGTGAAAGCAAAAGAAGGCTGAAAATGCTGGAATAGGGCTCTCCACTAAAAACGTGCTATGGATATGTGCATGGGGAGGGGGAGAAAATGCATTAGGACATTTTGTGTTGGCGAAATAACTTTTATTCTTGTAAAATATTACCCAAATTTTAGTGCAATGTGTCAAATTTATTTTGTGTATGTCTGGAATATTATGGAAAGCTATTCACTATAATTTAACATGATATAGACAAAATTACATTTAAGTGGTGATTACATTGTACATTTATCTGACTTTACAATAAAATAGATTACAGTAATTAAGATTATATTAAGATTGCAGTAATTGGATTTTGCTAGATTTTTTCCCCGATGTCGGGTTTTCATTGTATAAATCAGGTAAGATGATGCTCATTTTCATAAAAATATATATATATTTATATATATATATAACTAGCAGAAGTTTTCCCCTGCTGAAAACTTCTTTGGCTCGATGAAGTTTTCTGTTTGAGAAGTTGAGCTCTCCCTTCTAAGTACAGGTAGGGATCAGACAGCACTTTCTGAAATCGTTTATTGCTTTCCTCTCTTTTTTAGCTTTGTACAGTAATAGATGGAGCATTATATAGGGCTTATTGCTGAGATTTGCCAGGTTTAATAGTCAGAGGTAGTGGAGAGAAATACTTGCTTATAATTTTCAATATGCTTTGCAAAACTGAGGGAGGAAATTAATTCAGAGCATCTACTGCATCATAGTAATTCTTTTCATGAAGTTAGCTTAACCTGTCTCACTTAAAAATCAGTTTAAGAAGTGGTAGACCCTCTGTTCTGTTACGGGCTTTCTATATGCAGAATAGAAGGCGTTCTAATAATCAATGCTGAAACAAAAAAGCAATACCTTTAAAGACAATTTTTCAGATTTAAGCATTTATATTTGGTAAAGGTTTTCTTTTTAATTCTAAACATTCTTTAAAAATATCAGTAATCAAAATGGATGAAAATGGAGCCAAGCTTGTGTCCTCCGTGGGTTTCCCTGCAGATAGAATAGTCTCGCTGAACAGTGATTATTTCATTGGCATCAGCTGGGCTGGGCCATGTTTCCCTTTGTGGCTGGAGTGAGGGGAAGTGCTTATTATTGAAATACTGTATTCTTGGAGAGAAGCAGTACCGCAGGCATTTGGAGTTTCATACTACTTGTTTTCCTGAGGTTCTTGGTCTCCTTTACTTTTGTAGCTGTAACAGGTAAAAGTACTGGGAAAGGGCCTTAAGCCCCTAATGTACCTAATGCTTATTTGCCCGCTTGTTTTAACAGTCGCATAACCATCGTTTTTACCTTCCTCAGACAGTGGCTGGCCATCCAGAAATTAAGAAGCAAAATAAAGAAGAAAGTGGACAGAAAAGCCAGCAAAGGAAGGAAAATCCGGTAAGTGACAACTTGTGCAAGAAACCAAAAGTTTTGGTTTTGGTAGATGAAATCTGACTGCCTTGTACTGGTGCTGGGTGCACTAGTAGTATTCCTGCCTTTCAGGACCAGGTGTCTCGCTCAGGGACATCCACTGGGGAGCCTTAATATTCTTTGAGCCTAGAATAAGGGGTCAGTTCGATGCAACCTGTGAGCATTGCGCTGACCAGACTCTTGGCAAGAGCGTCCGTTGGTCTAAGACGACTCTGGGGCGAGGTGTTCAAATGTGCCCAAGTGATTTGGGGCTGTAACTTGCAGTAACAGCTCATAAACAGCTCTTGTGCAATATATATTTAACTGACTAAAATGCGGATAGCAGCTCTCGGAACTACTACTGAAATACTCAAGTGAAGTAGGGGTCTACTTCCCGCTGATCAGAATTTGATGTCTAATCTGTAAATATTTTTGTAAATCCCATCACAGCGTTATTTAGCTTCACTGCATTTCACGTTCTTCCTCCTGGGTGACTAATTTGGATTGATGCTCTCCCATTGTATTTTTGTTGAAAGAATCATCCAGGCTGCAGTGTGGAAAGGGGAGTAGTGGGGAGAGGTTGGTGGGCTTTTTTGGTTTTTTTTGTTTTCCTTCCCTTTGCAGAGCAGATACATTAGTCTCCCTGAGTTTAGCATGACTGCATGATTTGTAGCGGAGGAGGTGTTTGTGGCAGGGAGACACGCTGAAAAGCTACTCTGCTTCCTGAAAAATCTGCAACATTAACCATCCTTTTGTGAGTAAACTATAAATCGTGAATTTAGATGGCATCTGATAGAAAGTCAGTGGAGTCAGTCTGGGTCAGGCCTGGCATAGCAATTTTTAAGATAGATGTCATAAGATAATTTATTAAAAGAGGGAAGAGCTACTTTGTTGGCCTGAAAAGCCTATAATTATTGACTATCAATATTCTTTTCTGTCAGCATCACACATAATTGGATATATTCATGATTCCGTCAAAACTACTGACAACATCACACAACTGAGTCAGACTCATAAACCTCAAGGAATAATGGGGAAGTCTCTCACTGTGCACAATCTGTGCACGCCAGCGTTCCTGAGAGATCAGCTATCTCACCGTGTCACTTGCCTCTTACATCTTGGGTACCTTTTCTTCCTCTCTAAATAAAAGTTGCACTGACCCCTCAGGGGAAATACCATAAAAGAGAAATGTGTCAGTGGCTGTGTTTTGGATCAACATGCAGTTAAGCTCCAGCATCTTTCCAGAATAGTCCTGTGGATCACTTCTTCTCTGTTCTTCTCTCTGAAACGGAGGCTACAGTGCTTAGCCTTTTTATTGTAAAGCTCTTCGAGGTCCTGGAAAGCAAGGTATCAAATACTGTTTCATCCCTTTCCCTACTACTTCCTTTTTAGTACCTCTAATATTATAGCATGTTTGGATGAAAGATGCTAGTTCATTGTTGTGTCTGAGGATCTCCAAATGGTTTCAAAAGCGGTGGGCCTTGCAGTGAGGTGAGGACTCGTCCCCGTCGTAGATGGCGAAACGGAGGCCCCAAGAGCGGAAGTGAGCTTTTCCAAAAACTGCACAGTAGAGCTCAAGAATCTGCCCAGACCTCCGCTTTCCCTCACTATGACGTGCCTTTTCTTGAGGTAGATGCAGAGGAGTGCAGTGTGTACGTGGGGGGTGTTGTTGTTGTTGTTACTGATTTCTTGTCCTGTGCTGCTGCAGCATGAGATTTCTTTCTGTGGATGAAATTAAATACTTTCTATCTGTTAGGCCGGGATTTTGAAAGTCCTGATTTTAAAAACACGAGAATAGTTGGTTCTGGCCAAACAAGTAGTCTCCGAGAATTTATGAGGTTAAGTCCCCTTACCACTTTGCAGATTGTCCCTGTACAAACTCTGCTCTCTCTGAATGCATGGCTTGTGAGTATCTCGCAGGTGACCTTATTTCACAGTTCAGCCTGTTGACATGGTGGTGTTTGGTGCAGTGCTAGCTGTGAGGTGCTACGTCTGTTCCCCGACTAGGGGTCCTTACAATCTTAGACCTGGGCAGTTGCTTCCGTTACGAGGGACAAAGACTTGGCTGTGCAGAGAAGCCCTTGTGTAAGGGGGAGTGTGCGCTGGGCCTGGAGAGCCAGTCTGAAATATTCTTGTGAGCTAAAATCCCCTCAAGGGAAAGTTCTTGCATAAGCAAACAGAAGAGACTACAGAGATTACAGTGGAAAGGCGATTCTGGGCAAATGCTTATGAATCCTTTTTCCTGCTATTTGTAAGGCTCTAAAAGTAGCAGCAATTTGGATACAACATTTCAGATGGGTAGCCAGCATGGTAGTATACACCAAAAGCCTTTGGTTTGGGATCTTGCCCGCTTTGACACAAAGTTTAAAGCCAGCTTCTCATTCTGAGTTTTTCAGTACCCTGTTAAATGGTGTATGTCGGGTCCTAGAATATAAGCCATGAAAAGCCACTGCAAGTTCCTAGCCCAGTGTGCAGAGCAAGAGGGGGATCCCATCCCATCCCTGGTGGTGAAGTACAACTTGCATGACCTTGGACATAGCACTTCTCTGCTTGGCACAGGTCTTAGTTCTGTCCCCCTCTTTGCCTGGTTTTACATGCTCCACTGGTAAGTTGTTCAGGGTAGAGCTTTCCAACTATGAGCATGGCTAGCAGAGTGGGATTTCAGTATTCTTTAGGGCCTCTATATCCCACAGAACAAGCAGGGAGAGTGACAGGAGACAGATGCTGTGAGGAGGCCTCCAGTGCTCCAAGCCTTCTGCTGCCTGCAGTGGCCTTTTGGGCACGAGTTCCGGAAGGCGACTGAGACACCAGCTGAAGGGGAGGCTGAACGCACAGAGAGCTTCTCTGTCCCTGACTTCTAAGGGTTGTCAGAATCTGGGGTTATGTTTACGTACTTACGTGGAGTTCACGGATGCTGTATGTCCTCTTTCTGGCCGTGATAAACAGGGATTTGCTTGTTAGTCAGCTATTCAGTACGTATCACCTGATTACTCTGCTATCTGTGTTTTAAGAAAGGAGGAGGAGGGAAGAGAGGAGGAACTGCCAACTGCAACTAGTGAGTCATTAGATACCAGCCACCAGGAAATCCAGTGCTTTGCATTTCAGACGCTGTGACGTTTCTATTTGAGCAGCAACATTTCCTTCTCATTAGTAGTTACTAATGCGCTGCCTGCTTATTTCCTGCATTATTCAGGTATCATGTCCATAGCAAGCTGGTGAGCTTCATGGCGCCTATTGACCACTGTACAATGAATGATGATGCCAGGTGAGTAACAGATTAATTATGTTTCTCAAATGGCTTCGTGACAGCATGATATTGACCTGTTCTTCAGTCTGTCGCCCTCTCCATTTCTTCTTATCAGTTAACCATTTGTCACTGGCATCATAGCCTGGGTGTCTTGGTCACATCTGTCCAGGCAGTCTAGATGAGCTTTCACTCTGTAATTACTGTGACACCAAACGAGAAATTTTCATAAATCTTGATGTGTACATTTTGATTCCTGCTTTAAAACTCCTCTGGTTTTGAAATCTTCTGGTTTTATGGAATGATTCTGGAAACAGACTGCGAAGTTTAGTGTGTGCTGGTGTAATCCGAAGTTATAAACAATTTGGTTTTTATCAGAAATTTCAACTGTTTAAAATTCAATTTAGTGTGCATTTCCTTAGTTCAGCTAATAACTGGAATGGTTAAGTCAAGATTGACTCAAAACCTAAATGTTGCTTATATTTATTTCTGTTAATGAAGAAAATTCTTAGAAGGCTATATCTTAACCTGTAAATTAATAAGGAAATATCAGTGCAGCTGTATGCATAGTTGCTCAATAGTTATTCCATGTATACACCCGTATTCTTGTGCATTACATTCTTGCACTAAATCTCCAAATGCTGGGCTTTTTGTGGTGAGGAGGTGGTATCATTTTTTCCAAAGAATGCATGTGGAAGGCTTAAGAAACCTCTTTCCCCTGGGTTGTGAACATGTTTGTGCTTTGTGAAAGAGAGAGAGAGAGAAGTCATTCATCTGTTTGGAAAATGCCAACCAAATGCCTGCTGTTTTTAGACTGTTGCCTTTTGGAGTATTGAACAGATTTCTGGGTAAGAGCTCTTCAGTAAGCTGGCACTAAGGCACTTTGTGTCCATAATAGGACCTGTGCTGTTTCATCAAAGGATTGCTCTTTCGCATAGTTTCTTTTCCCTTTTTTTTTTTTTTAAATGGGAAAATTGCTCTAATTTCTGAATATTGTCTAGATCTTCTTGCCACAAAAGGAAACGTGCTGGAAATGTGGGGTGAGTTATTCCCTCAGCCAAACAAAGTGGTCAGTTTTTCCATCCCCTTACCTGGATCGTAGGAAAAGAGGGGCATAAGTGTCTTTGGCGGTGTGAGGTTAGACACGTATTTTTGACTAATTGGATAATCAAGCGCATTTTGTTTCTACAGTGCAGGCCTAGCAGCTGCTTGTGTTTCCCAGTAGGAAGGGATCTCCTTACCTGTATGGAATCGGGGTCTTTGCTGTTTTGGATCGCCCCAAATAAGACATGGGATGGGATAGACGTACGCTCCTATTGCAGCTATATCATCCTATAGAAATCCTACTGGGTTGTGCTGCTCATTCCCCACATCTTTTTGTTTGAGGGTTATTAGCAGGTGGCTGTTTATGTGTAAGAAGAACCAGTTCATACCGTATGCCTAATAATACACATGACTCTAGTATTTTTCTATCTTAATGTTATACCCAGTTGGCTGGTTATGACTTGTGCTTTGAGAATTTTAAGGGAGATGAGAGTGTCTGTCATTTTTTGCATATAATTCATACTGCGCTGTCCTCTGGATTACACAGGCATATAGACTTCTGCTCTATCTAAATGAAAGGCAGCTCATGTTGTGTGTGTAAGGGAGAGGAAGGTGTTTTAAAAAAACAAACCCCCCCCACACACACGCAGACACAGTGAGACTGATTCTAAGAATGTAGGAATTATCATACTATGTTTGCTCTTCCCGGAGGTGACATCACTGCCTCCTTCTCAGTCTGCCGCAGTCACTTGTGTTCCAAAAGTTGCATAGAAAATGTCTTCTATAAGCCAAAATCCTTCAGCAAGTCAATGCAAATGTGAAGTGCACTGAAACAGCTGGGAGAGCGGCGTAGTTCTGCACAATAGCCTTCTTGGGCCCCAGTTGCGCTTTATCTGGCTGCTATCTTCATAACCCTTATTCCCCTTACTTCTCGGGAGGCACCACCATACGCTGCGAGGGGTCTGTCCGACCCTCAGAACCTGTTACAGCTAATAGGACCCTATCTACATTATACGATGTTGACACAGGTACTATTGTGGGTAGGGATAGAGTGTTTGACATTTGGTTTACTGAAAATGTCTCCTGGGGGTTTTCTCCACTTAGAGCGGGTTATTACATTGCTTGCATGTTTTACAGATTCTTCGGTGGCAGCAATGTGGCAGCAGCTGCTGCTGCTTATTGTCTGACTGCGGGAACTTATTTCTTACATTAAGTTTATTAGTCACTTTGGAGGCCTGCCATACTTTTTGTTAATGGCATTTAAGTCACTTAACTCCTCATGTTGGTTTAGCCTTCTAGAATGAAGCTGTCGAGTGACGTGTCTGCACACCAGCAAGGGTGCCTGAGGGTCATATCCTGTGGGCAGCTGTATCCCATTCTGACAAGATCAGGTTTTCAAGCAAAACCTGGGCACAGATGGGGCAGTGCACTGGGAATGAAGAGGTGCAGATCCTGTTTCTAGTTCTAGTCATCTTCTAGGATGACTTTTGAGCAAGTTGCTTTGTGTTGCTGTCACTCTGATTCCCTTTCTCTGCAAAGGAGAGAATCTGGAATGCTTTGAGATCTTCTGTGGACAAGCGCCCATAAAAAATGGTTTATTAATACTATTAGTTTATTTTTTAACATAGCAAAGCTTTAATGCAAGACAAGAGACAAATATGCAAATGCAAACCTAGGCCTTCCTTACTGTTGGCCAAAACGCCTGCTGGTTTCCTGTAACACGAAGAATGTGCCTTTCCTTTGCCTGTTGCAGGCGTTACAGTTTTCCTTAAGCAGTTTCTCTGCAGCTGCCTCCCCACAGGATGTTCTTTGGCATTGTTTAGTCCTAATGTCTAGCTGAAATTTTCCCTTACTGTAATTTAGGCCCATTACTTCTTGTCCTGTTCAGCATGGGCATTCAGAAGCAATTGTTGCTTCCTCTTTGCAGCAGCACTTAGTACATTTGACCAGCCTGGTGGGCATTCTTGCTTTGCACATGGAGAACCTGTGAGTAACTTAGCTCAACTTTCTTCCTTTCTGCCCCAGATTTGCCCCATTTGTGTTCATATCTAGACAGAAAACACATTTAAAATATTGGAGTGGCCAGTGTCTGAAAGTTAGGCCTTTTAGGGATGTTTTAGTTCAACTCCCCCAAAATGAAGATACCTGCTGTAATCATTAACTTTTTGGAAAAATGTGGGCACTCTCCAGGGTCACTTCACATACCTGTTTAAAATGCCCTTGCATTTGGCATGGGACGCAACACCTTTCTAGCAACACGCAACAGTACTGGACAAGACAAGAAGAACGCAACGTCTGCATTAAGCTGCAGGTGAATCAAAAAGAAGGGTCCAAGCCTGTATGCATGAGAGGATAGTAGTAATGATAACAGCTTTCCCTTGTGACAGAGGAAGGCAATGTTATTGTTTGCAAATGCAAATGACTGAATTGAAAATGCAGGTATACGCTTCACAGCAATGTGATCATGCTCTGAACCTTTTTTTTTCTTTTTTCTTTTTTTTTGGCACTTAAAAGGCATGACCCCAAAATAAACAGACATCTGAACAGTAGAGTACTCTGTGTTGTAGTGTGAGAAATTTTAAAGCAGCAGTGAGCTGTATTTAAAAAAAAAAAAAAAAGAAGTGGAAAAAGTGGGGGGAGTGGTTGTAGGAACAGAACTAGTAGAACGTTCTCCTTGAGTTCTGCCAGTGGCAATAGTGGCAGGTAGGTACCTGAAAAATGCCAGTAAATACATGTGCATATACATATATACATATATACATACATACATATATACACACATACATACACATATATATACATACACGCACACACACATATACACACATACATATATGTGTGTGTGTGCATGTGCAGATGGAGGTGGGCAGAGGCAGGGGTGAGCGGTGGAGGAATTCGGGCTCTTCCTTGGCTGCACCGAGCCCTCACTCCCCATGACAAACTGCACGAGCCACTCTCTGCCGCAGGAACAAAAGCAGAAGGGAGTTGTTGGTGACTGTTTTCTCTCTTTATTTGCTCTAAGTGCTTTGGAAGCATAAATCTCTGCAGTAGTGCAATGCCCAGCTGTTTTCTATTTTTTTAAGTGGCTAATACAGCCTTGGAATAATTTCAAAGGTAGGAGGAAGAATGGGCCTTGCGTTTTGGGCAGTGGTCTGGGACTGGTTCCATTCCTCTGCCGCGTGCTCCCTGTGCACCAACGTCCCAGTCTGATGCGGAGGATGATGGCACTGCGCAGAGGGATAAATAGCAGTGTGTGGTGGCTCAGGTGCTCTAGTAATGAGGCCATCTAAATCCCTCTGATAAACGATAGAGGTAAGTATTTGGGGCCTGAGTCCCCTGTATATTTAAGCCATCCTACACTATTCTGGGTGTGCAGAGAAGCCTTAAAATAGGACAAAGAGCTTCTGGTGCTCACTGGAAGGTTCTTGGGCAGCATTGGCACGGCAGACTTTGGGGATTTGGCACATCAGGTTTATCACTCGCTACTCCTGCTGGCTGGGGGGAAACAAAGAGCAAATGCATGTGAGAAGCAGCCTGAGCGCTGGATGGAGAAGGGGATGAACAGTGACTCCAGGATTGTTTTACAGCCTGAATTTGAGAAAAGAAGCATACAAATACAATAGTGCCTTTGTCAACATCACTGCCGCGTTCGTTCTTATTCTTGCTGCTGGTTGGAATAATAGCATTTGTGCAGGCAATTAATCTTCCACTTGCCAGTTTTTCATGCACCCTACGCATGGGCATGGCTGTTTAACCTCGTGCTCACATATATTATGTTGTAATGTGTGGGACACTGGTGGCCTCCCGCTCTTCTCTATTTTAACCCCTCTTTGGTAGTATTTTAAAACATACACTGGAAGGTGATTTTTATGGTTATCCTGGGGTGTATGTTTATGGACTTAAATACATTTATAGTACTCTTGGGCCAAGTTTTTTTTTTTTTTTTAATCTATCCAAGGTCATTGCTATGTAAATGG